ATTTTTATTTGCTCTTTTTTTCCCTCTCACCTCCAAAGGATGTTGTCTCAAAGCTGAACTAGTTACTTCCGTCATATCAATGCCAAGAGAAACAAAGACAGAAAGTTAAAATGCTTTGCTCTCACCCTCTGTAACGGACTCCAGGATACTCTTTGAGCGTTGCACACAGGGTGGCTATCTGTTCAGCACAGCGCTCCAACATGTTATTCTTCACATCAGCTTTGAAGGGGCTGTAGAAGTCCTGGAAGGCATCCATTTTATCCAGGGAGAAGACCTGAATAAAGATCATAAGGGTTACAGAGGCTGTAAGCACTAATGACATGTGGATATTTATGCTGCTGTGCTGGAAGAAATAGCAGCATAAAAGTTTTTCATGGACCAAAAAACATTGGTTTTATGGGTCGTCTGTGAAAACCAAAAAACGTGATTTTGTCCATGTACTTTAAAATATTATAGTTTAATAACACTTATTTTTTACTAAACCGTGTTAAATAAAGCATGTTGGTAGGAATATTATGTGGGATTGAAGCTGCATGACTACGGTTATATTAGTGTATATTAAAATATCATATAATTTCAGGTGCACAGTGACCTATGCAGTCCGCTGCATTAATGTGCAACAAAGAGTTTGCAGGGATCTGTATTTGTGGATGTTTGTGTTTAATTTAATTTCAACAAAAACTTGTTTCCCCTGTCTGATACCGTTTCATTCTTACAAACAGCTCTGTATTTAAAATACATGTAAAAAGATAGAATATTCTACCTTTAATAATAAGAGTCTAGGGAACCCAAAGCAATAATGATAAAGTAACTCAAATACATTTGTTTGTTAACTCATTTTATTTAGTATGTTGCAACTTAAACCATTAACTATGTTGGACTAAAATGCTCTATTGATTCATACTTATTTAAATGGATTACATGTTCACTTTAAAATTAAGTCAAATTAACTTCAGAGTTTCTTATTTGAACAACTTCGATCTCTACTGGAGTTACTCATCCAAATGGAGAAACCGATTGCACAAAATTGTATGAGTCTTATGAACACACCAAACTTTGACTTTTTCCATTCAGTTTTTATTAACTCAAAACTGCAGCTTCAAACATAAATCATGACTGCAAAAGCCATTATCAAATATCACAAATTGGTCTTTTAAAGCTGACACCTTAACAGTATTTATTTATTTGTACTTTTATTCAAATTGTTAAATGCTTTTTGAAACATTGATTTTTGGTGTACATCAGTAAATTAGAATACTGTACAAAGTCAGAATGTCAGTCTTTTTAAAGTAAATTGTTTTAGTTGTCATGAGTCATAGCAATCACAGAAGATGCATTTTGATTAATTATTATTTAACTTGTTCACAATATTCTGATATAATGATGCACACCCACAACAAATGCAAATATAGCTGAACTACAAGAATTCAACACTAATCCATGCAAACAGTAATAATGCAACATTAATGAATGAACTCAAAAAAATCCACAACACTTTCCAGGATAGCTCAGATGCACATCATAGATTAGCCCAAACAAACACACTAGTGTGTCTGTTTATAAGTTATAAGTCTTTCCAAATTGATCCTCAAGCACAACAAACATCTAATGTGGTGAGAAAGGAACTCCTGCAGGATCCTCTTCCTCATCCACATCAATCACCAGAGCAACTGCATCTTCATAGGACTCCTTCATATCCTAAAATGCCACACAGAGTGCAAAATTATTGAGCAATAATATCCCTATCAAAGACGTAAAAGTGAAAATAAATACACTTTATCAGCTACTTTTTAACATTTTCTGTTAAGCTTCATTCCTTATTATCTATTTTAAAATTCTGATGGGCAAATTAGTGTAATCCCCAAGAATAACATACCTTGCATATTTAGAAAATTCCTAAAGATTCCTTTATAAGGGAATTGATAAGGCCAGCCAGGGATGCTCCTCTTTCTGCATGTATGTGGATTTTGTCCTTAATTCTGTTAAATGTTTAAATAGAACTTGAAGGTGAAAAGGTGAATTTATTGTACTATTTTATTGATTTGCAGAAAAATGGGCCATGCTAACCCAGCTGCCATCTAGCATTGCTTAAAGTCAGCCTGGATAAATTTGGCGGCTTATTTGGGGAAATAGTATTTCAAAGCTACGTATCACACAACGTCATGGTAAAATAGAGTTTCATCATTTTAACTACAGTTTTCACTTCTACACCCAGCATATATGCAAAATTGTTTCATGTTTTTTGCCAATTCTCCTCAGCTCTACTGCTAATTTCACTGGATTACCAGTCAGGATGGATGTATATCCTCCTCAGCTGAGAAGAAGACTGGAGGAGCTGATGAAAATATGGACCAGCTTTATGCAAAATAGGTACTTTAAAACACTTTTACTCTATTGTTAACATTATAATTCCAAATTTCATGTTTTTATATATATATATATATATATATATATATATATATATATATATATATATATATATATTCTTTAAAGAAAAAATACTTACCTCATAATTTTCACACTTAAGTTGCTAAAATTCTTTGTTGAAACTTTCCTCTAATGGCCGACAAGTTCAGGGAAACACCTCACCATCGTGTGCAAGCTCAGTGATGTCACCAGAAAGAGGAGTTTATTTCTTTGGTTTGAGTCAGTGATCACAACTTGAACAGTTCAAAGCAACAATACTCAAAATAAATGATTAGCATATGTGTACTTATTGTAAATGAGTTAGAAAATCAAACTGTTAGTTTTGGATCTACTCAAGAGTAACAATTTATAAAAGTTACTCTTACTATTTAGCTGAAATGAGTACAAATAAATAACTTCTTTTTAGTAAAAAGCACTATTGGGATTATAGTGTAGTTTTTACTGCTCCTGAACACACGTAATGCTCTGTCGTCTATCTTTGGTAGTGCTGTTCTGGCTTTTTCACAAAATGAATGACTATGCACAAATCAGCTGCCTTAAGTTCAAAAGTGAGTCAAAAAGGGCAACTCAAACCAATTTTAACAACACATTACCTACTCAGGCAATTACTCTGACTCAGAAGGGCAGTAACTATTCTAATCTTCTGACAACCAAACTTTTCCAAAGTCACTGTCTGGTACTGATGCATTATATTAAAATCCTGCATGAAAACAAGTCTAATTTGAAAGAATATTCCCAAAACAAAACAGACAGCATCTTACACATCATCTCCAGCACAACTGTGCACATAATCAGAGCTCCAAAATATCTACTAAACATCTGTACACAAAGCTGAACTGTTCTACAAGTCCTATTCTCATAACATCCTCTATCATTAATGATAATGTGGATGAATTTTCACCTGCCATGACACATCCCAGTCTGGCCTTTGTCTTACCTGAGACTCGTAGGGCAGGAAGGCTATGTGGATTTCAGTCAAGGCCTTCATGGCTTTGGAGGCGCGGGATTTGGTCAACAGTCCAAACAGGGAGTCTGGGATCGCTGCAAAGCATCACATTTCAATCAGTTATTCTCACCTAAATTTTGAGAAAGATTTCCTTTATTGATTTATTTTCTTGATGCCTAATTAAGTTATATTTGGATTAGAAAATATTAAAAGAGAATATATGCAAATAAATTAGGGCTGTAATGATTCTTCGAATGATTTGAGTACCTCAATCATTAAAATTCCTCCAAGCAAATTATCTGCCTTGAATCTTCATTAAATTATGGTATATTATTTAGCATACCAGTTCTGGTCGGGTGATTGTTTGTGTTGTGCAATGTTCTCACTTTTGCCTAAGAGTTTTTGACAAAATTTAAGTGCTAGCAACACAATGTCCAAATTTCAAGTTCAGTCTGGAGGTATTTCATTGATTTATGAAAATGTCCAGGTTTTATCGTTTTTCAGGGGATCAATAACATAACATTACAGTGTTAGAAAATACAGACTCTGTTACTGAATGGTCTATTAAAGACAGGAAGGCCTTTAATAGACTGTGGCAGTGATCAGGTTATTATAGAAATAACTGATTTAAAGAAACAAATGTATTGTAATCAAATCAAGCCATATTAGTTGTACACGTCAGACTTCTGTCATCTAGAGAAATACTCAGATGACTGTAGGTGTCAGGTGTATCAGAGATGGACAAGAGACTGAGTACAGAGAGCTGGTGGACCGCTTTGTGTCATGGTGGGAAAATGTATCTTTAATGTAAAAAAAAAAAAAGAAACTAAGGAGATTATTGTTGATTTCAGGATTAACAGGGTTAGATCAAACCCTATTTCCATCATGAGAGAAGAAGTGGAGGTGGTTGAGGAATATAAATACCTCTGTGTTCACCTGGACAACAGACTGGACTGTAGACACAACAGTGAAGTCGTCTAAAAGAAGGACAGAGCAGACTGGACTGGTTTGCAGCAAAATGCTACAGATTTTCTATAAGTCTGTTGTTGAGAGCATCATCTCTTCACCTAAAAAGGCTCAATAGTCTGATAAAGAAGGCTGGTTCTGTTCTGGGGTCAAGTGTGCCCACAAAGTGGGCAGTATAAATGAAAGAGTGAAAATTTTTTAATGCATTTTAATCAGCTCATGCTCATTTCTGTATTTCTCTCTCAATTTCAAATGCAATTTTATTTCAATATTTGTTTTGCACTTGATGTTGCAATGGAGATCTTTTTTTTTTTTTTTTTCCAATATTCTTCATGACTATAAGCTTCTGTGTTTGACTATCTGCTCCTGCTCATGGGCCACACTGAAGCCTTAGGATGCATTAAAATGTATATTTTTTTACAGTCCTTCAGCAATGTAAAATAGATAATAAAAACAGTCTTATTAGCACAACAATATGAGGACTATAGTTATTTATAACTAAAGACTCTCAGCCAAACATTTACCACATCAGATGGAACAGAAACAATTTGTATTTGGAGAAGGTTAAATGAACTCACTGTCAGTGAAGAAGACATGGGCTGCTCGGTACCTCGGAGCCTGAGGGTCTCTGAAGTCTTCAATCAGACCCTCAACAGACTAAAACAACAGAAAACTATGTGACACCTTCCAAACTGTGCTGGGAACAGGCAGCTCATCGATATAAAAAGGAGTTATTCGGGTTTCATATAAACATACTTGTATGAACTCAAACAATAAGTTGACACATATCTTCTAATCTTTGATAAATATAAAGACTAGGCTTTAAATAATTGGCTAGTCCTCAATTATTTACCTCATCTGATGGTGTGATTAAGTAGATGGCCTCCATGCTGGGCAGAGGCTCCCGCCGCTTATTTATGTCTTCTACAACTGAAGAGCACAGGCAGTAAAGGTTAAGCCTCGTCACACATCACTCAAATCTATAACTGTATGTGCTGATCTTATTTAAAGTATTCTATCCAACATTTATTATGATACAGTAAGATACTACAATATGCATTCAGGCCTTATGGTTCAGGATAAAGCACTGAAATAATGTTTTATTGATCATCAGAGTCAAGTCAGAGAGGGGCAGTAAAAGCCCACCCTGTGGGGAGAGGAGAGAAGTAATAACTTTATATCCTGGCATCCAGTTCTTGTTTTTAAAGATCTACACAGAAAAAAAAACTGTTCATTAAAGACTAAATCATTAAAGCCCCAAATTATTAAAAAACAACACTCTTACATAGTAACATTGTCAAAAAGTGTGAACTGAATAAAACTTTGAATAGTTTAAATGAAGCAAAATTGATTTCACATATAGAATCAAATGGAGCTTACTGGTGATTCCCTCTGACATGATGTCTGTCATCTTACAGCAGGATGAAACCATCCTCATGCTCAGCTTGTCCACCACCAGGACCTACAGCACAGTTCCACAAGGCAACAGAAGATCCGCATTTCACTTGAGGTCAGACTGAAGGATATTTGATGAAAAATGTGATCAGAGCAGCACAAATACCTTCCATTTTCCTTTTTCTCTTGCCTTCTTAATCACATTGTTCATTATCTCTGTAAAGTCAAGAGACAAAAGGTGAAAACAACAGTAGGAGTTTAAAATTGAACCCACGTTAATTCACCATCATTTGCAATAAAATTAAAAAAACATTTTGCAGCTTTTTACGGTCAACTGCAGAGCTTCAGGACAAGATTAAAAATAAATAATAAATGTATCAAAGCATATTTACAGCCATTTTATGAAACCTTGTGCTTGTGTCAAGTTTATCATAAATGCCTTGTATGGTTCTGGTGGTAAGACTGATTATAGTGTGATCAAGGAAGGTTGGATGAGGTGAAAAGTTTCAGAGACAGAAGTTCATGATGAAGAAGGCCCATTCAGTGGAACCTCTGAAAATTATAGTGTAAAGAAGGACTCCTCATAAATTAAAGAGTATTATGGATAACCCTGAGACTGTCATAGAACAACAGAATGTCTTCAGTAAGGAGGTCCTTCCTGCCCAAAGCCATTGCATGCTCAACAAAATGTTTCTGGATCTTTCTCCAGATTTGTGCCTCAAAACCATCCTGTCTCTGAGGTCTACAGACAATCCCTTCAACTGTATGTTTGGTATATTACCTTTGACATGCACTGGCAACTATGGGACTAGGTGTGAGTCTTTCCGGATCAAGTCCAATCAGATGAATTTTCCTCAGGTGCGCTCCATTTAAGCCGTAGAAACATCTCAAGACTTTTCTACAGAAATTTAATAACTATTTGAAGTCACAATGACTTCATTAGTAAGGAGTTGCATCCATATTTAGAATAGAAATATTTAATTCTCAATCTCATTCCAGCTGTTTTCTGCCTGTTATCAGTTCTTTTCCCCAAATTTCACATGGTAAAATATATTGACAGGACAACTACTAGTTGGTCATGCCACATTCTGGTATTTATGGACAACTGAACAATAACAAGAAGAAAGTTATTGTTGAAAAAAAATGTTGGAAAAATGCAGCTAAATACAGTCCTGGAATAAAACCTTTCAGATGCAGATGTTTACTTTCTAGCAGGATCCACTACACACAACCAGAGCTACACTGAAATTATTTGTATTATTTGGTTACTTAAGTCCAGACTTAAATCCAATTGAAAATCTGTGAAGAGACTTTAAATGTTAAATGTACAAACTGAAAACCCTTGAGCTATGTTGCAAAGCACAATAAGCAAACCTTTCAGTCTTTTTAGACACAAAGCTGGTAGTCAAGCTTCAAGACTTTCTAGCTGTAATTTCAGTGATAAGTAGTTCTACACAGGTCTGATTCAGGGAGATGAATACAAATGCAAGTCACATTTTCAGACATAAATTGTTTACAAAATGGAAATCATGTCTAATTTTCCTTCCATTCCCATGTTACGACCCCTGACCTCTAGAGCTGTCCAGGCTCTTTTGTTTATGCAGGTTCAGCTGTGAGAGCAACACCTTCCTGATTGGCTGCCTGAAAGCTGCAGAAGAGCAGCGACATCATTGGACCAGCAGGGGATTGTCAAGCCAATCAGATGCTGATGAGGCCCACTTGCTCCCTATAAAAGACTCCTGCAACCAATCCAGCTTGTAGGAAGAGATTTTGTTCAGATGCCCCACCTTAATTTGCTTGCTTGCTTGTAACTGTTGACTGTCTTGGGCAATTTTGGAATATTTTGGTTCTGCTGACCTATTTTGTTCTGCAAAGCAGTTTAACTCTGCTTTTGACTACTTATAATCAATCTAGAAGCTTGTGTTAGGGAGGCTTGGTGTGCCCTCTGTGTTCCTTTTGAGTTTACTTTACACTGACTTGTTTTTTGTTTTTTCGTCATTTAATCAAATTGGACTTAACCCTCTTTTTATTTTAGTCCTATTTTGAGTATTAATTGGGTTAAGTTGTACTTTGTTTGTAAAAAATAATTTTAAAGTTAACTTGTTTCTTTTGACACTTTGTTACAACCCCTGATTCCCTACACCTCGGGGTCGTAACATCCCATATTCTACATCATGTTGTTCCAGTGAAATGCATTGAAAGAATATGTAACATTAATCTCTGTGTTAATACAAAACATTTTGACTGATACCATGTGATATGAAGAGTACGATGGAATATTTTGTTAGTGTTGGACAATAAACTGTAAAATTTAATTAGTTCACCTTACTTAAAATATGCAAAGAATTCAGAAAAGTAAGAAAGCAGTAGTAAATCAAGTAGTACATCTGACACAAAATAAGTTAATGTAACTTATTTGTCATGCATTGTGTTAATTGTTTGTGTGTGTGTGTGTGTGTGTGGACTGCTTGATACAAATTTAACCCCACTTAGGATGACTAAGTACCTATAAATTACTACTTATTTTTCAAGTTCACTTAAACCAAATTTCTTGAATGAGTCTTTGCCTCCCTCTCTCTCCTTTTTTCTTTAGGTTTTATTGGCTCTAGTGGCCTTTTCTTGAGACAGGAAAGTGGATAATGATAGAGGGGGAAGACATGCAGCAAAGGTCACCAGTCTGGGAATTGAGCCTGTGACAGCATCCAGGACTAAGGCATCCTTCCATACATGGGTTGTTTTACCTCTGCGCCACCGCAGCACCGCCGTCTCCCACTTCCCAGAATTACTAATTACATCAGCATAAAATATTCTAATAAAATATACAACAAATGTTAATTCACTCTCGACCATCACTGTCGCTTGAGTGTCAGATTTACAGGAATACCAGAAACGCAACACTAAGGTTCCGGCTTGGGATGTCTGCATGAAGAAATAAATGCAAATAATTGTATTAATGGCCAGAAAAAAACATTAAGTTAGTTGACTGGTGATATCTCTAATCATAGGTCAACACACAGTGGTTGTCCTGTCTTTGACAAGCACAGACTGTTATTGTTAGCAACTAAAGTTAGCATAGTGCTAAGAGCCTAGCTCTCAAGTCAGGCATTTGTATTTGGATGCATACAGCATTGTGTCAAAGTACTTTTCAACACAGAAAAAAAGTACAATTATCAAATTGCTACTTTTCTAAATCAATCCAGTTCAAGTGAGTTGGTGAGTTAGAGACTTTTCAACCACCAATTCCAAAATTACTTACTGAAAGTGAGTGTTGATAGTAATTTGATGAAAACTTGCTATCAAGTTACTATTTTCTATTATATACCATGTTTGCATTTACAGTGTTTGGCCACATAACTTCCAAATAAGCAGCCCTGACTGTGGTGGTCTTTAACTGTGCTAAACAACGACTCTCACACCTCAGTGATGACACAGACACTGAAAGTCTTTCTCCAACTGTAGTTGATGCGTTTCCAGCACTGTGTAAGTCCAATCTGTCAGATGGAGAATGAAGAGACTCAGTAGGAGGGATCTGCTGCAATCACTCCACTAATCTGCTCCCAATCCTCTTACCAATCCCTGCCGCTATTTCTGTTCTCTTTCTGTGTCAGTGGGTGTGACGTCACATGTAAACAGCCTGGTTCTAGCTTACACACACACTAAAAAACACAGAACACTAGAGTCATCCAATAGGGAAACACTATGAATATTGCACAAATATACAAATGTAGTATATTTGTATATACTTATTTTTTTTTGTTAGTTGTAACAAAAAGTAGTTCATCTACTTTTTGTTACAACTTGTAGGCATTGTCAAAAATGTAATGACTGTCCCAGCATATCCCTGTATCACATGTGGTATGATATGATAACATGGTGTGCAGGGTATTTATTGGACTATCATACATACAAGCAAAAGTAAGATTTAATTTCCAAGGTGATAATTTTAGTTCTGATCAGATCAACTTTAATGGTTTTCCATAAGGTCCATGAAGAGAGCCCAGCAACTCACAGGAGAAAACTTTTAGGTTCACATATTCATAAATTCTCCAAGTCTATGTCTCACTGCTTTTACATTAAAAAAGCCCTTTCAGTGTGCACTTTATGCTTTAATATTCACACTGAAGATGCTTTCTGAATACATTATGTATTTCAAATATTTTATGTAATTCTGTTAAGTGGGAGAGGGGGATGCTGCAGAGTCCCAACCTCATGACCTCTGCAGTACTGCAATACTAACAAAAAGTAGATGAACTACTTTTTGTTACAACTAACAAAAAAAATTAAGTATGCTGTAAAATTTTAAGTTAGCTTAAAATCTAGTATGTTATAATTGCTCAATCAACAACCAAAGACTAAGGGTTTTTAACTATAAACTACTTAAAAAGAAAATACTGGCCTGAAACAGTTCCTGTCTCCTGCTTTTTATTCGTTCATCTACTCAAACTTTGACAGAAAAGATGTAAAGGAATGATACTTTACTTTTTTCAGTAAAACAAACATAATCATATGCAAGACTATACCGTCAGGCAGAGTGGGATCATGAAAATGAGCTACAGCTCATGGTGCAGTTTAATATAAGCACATGTTAATGCTAAAAACTTGCTAATAAGCGCTCTACTGCTCTGAAAGTAGCTTCATTCTTGAACTGACTACATAGATGAAGCTTTGGAGTCTATGGTTTTGCCTTAACATCTTAAAACTAATTTTTGTGACAAATAAAAAAGTGGCTTACCTAGTTGCTGCTGCTGATGGCACATTGCATTGTGGGTTACCTTGCTGGCCAATCCCTACTGTCATATGTAAACCAATTGCCTCAATAGAATCAATTATTGCAACATAAAAACTAAAGAAGTTATGTTATGTAGTTGAAGTATTGCAAACCTAAAATAACTTGATGAATTTTGCTTAGCTCTACATAAACTAAATAGCCACCTTACTGACTTCTGCTAGCTCAAAATTGTCTCCACTTCAAATAACTGTTAGTCCGTTGGTGCCTTACTCTTAGTACTTAATTTATTTCCTAAAAAAAATTACAATGTCTTCTATACTACATATATTTGTGTAGATTCAGATTCAGGTTACATTCACTTCACCACAGATTTTTTTTTCAGTGTGCTTTAACCCTGCACCACCACAGCATCCCTCTCTCCCACTTCACAGAAATACTAATTACATCAAATATTTGAAATACATAATGTATTCAAAAAATATTCTGT